ATCTATTTTTGGATATGAACAACGTTATGGCCTTAATATTTTCAATTTTAGAAGCTGGCCTTAACCTAGTTGTATAATCCTTAAGCAATAAGAACATCTTAAAAGAAGACATCTTGTTTCTTATATAGGTTTAGGCTTCCTTGGCTCAGGCCACAGGAACAAGTCTGCACATGTTTAATTATATAGCTTCTTAGAAATTATGACTTAGTGTGTTCTTAGGAAAGTTACTAGAAAGACTTTTATTATAAACCAATTTCCTGGGAAACCACATGCCCACTTCAGATTTTCTTCCTTGTGTATTTTTGGTTGCTTGGCAAATTTAAATGAATTTGCCTAATCGCTACTTCCTATACATGATCACCCATTTTTTCTCCTAAACTGTCCACAAACAGACACCCCAGCTGCTTGCAATGACCAAATCTGTAACTGTGAATTTAGGAAAATTTTTACATATTGTTAAGAAAAGGCATTCTAAATTATTAATGGATATTACCCAAATATTTATTACTGAAATACCTGGCCATAAATCACCAGCCAGATAATACTAGTTGAATATTGAGAAGATCAGCACTACTATAGAGACAGAATCACATACATCGAAGGTCATTTCGGAATTAGTACTTTGTACAATTATGGAATACACTCAAGGGTATAGAATTAGAAAACCATACATTTAATTCTATCACAAATTATTTTTCAAGGATCCCTTAACACTGTATCTATATAACTAGAAAAAAACCCACAAATAAACAAAACCAAAAACAATCCCAAAACTAAAATAGTCTGGGCATTAAGAATATCTACAAAATAGATTCTTATTTTTATTATAACTGTTCAAAATAGCTAATATAGCCATATTCATGATCTTTATATTAAAGATTATTAATGAAAAGTGAGAAAGTCAATATTCAGATATTTCCCCATAATTCCGGATATTTGACAAAATATAGGGTAAATTCAGAATATTATCTTGACAGGGATTTCAGACAGATATCTTCCAGTTCTGCCTCCTAGATCTCCTTTTCAAATGCATCACAGTCTTTTCAACATGTCCAAAAGTGAATTCCTAATCTCCCCACAGGGGTTCCTCCCCAGTCTTCCTAGTCTCATAGATGGCACCCTAATCCATTCAATTGCTCCATTAGATAATTGGGCCTCATCCTTAGACACATTCCACATCTAGATCAATAAGTGGTACCAATTATTTCTCCAACATATAGCTCAATTCCATCCATTTTTCTTGACCTTCTGCAAGTAACACCTAACTGATCTCTGCTCCCACTCATGCCCCTTCAATGCATTTTCTTCACAGCAGCCAAATGATCTTCTGAAAATGACTAATTTGATCGTGTCACTCCCATGCTGAAAATTTTGCAATAACTTTGTGTTGCACTTGAAATAAAACAACAAATCTTCAAATATGGTCAACAAGGCTTTGCATGATCTGGCGCCACTTACCTTGACAATATCATTTCATGTCATTCATTAACCTATCATTAAACACCCGTCACAATTGACTTCTTTCAGGTTCTAGAAGGTATCAAGATCTTTTCTACTTTAGGGCCTTCATACACACATGGTTTTACTTCTGTCTGGATGCTCTCCTCCACTCTTTATCTGGCTAACTTCTATTTTTATTTTTCCTTCAAGGTTTAGCTTAAGTGGAACTTCCTTTAAAAAGTCTTCTTTGACCTTCTATTTGATTGGCCACATTATAATCTTTTATGTTCATTCTAGTATGTTTCCCAGTTTATATTATAGGTATTTTCTACATCAGGCTATCATCTTCTTGAGCAAGAACTATTTCTACTTTTTTCATGAATCTCCATTGTCAGCCTCTGTGCCAGAAACATACTAAATACTTATATTCCTTGAATCATTGAAGGACTAAATTGATGCAGAAATCCAGTTAGTTCTATATTATACATGCATAATTGAGGCTAGTTAGCCCAGTTGGCTAGAGAGTTGATGGACTATAGAGAATGCCCACGTGCTCAACAAAGGGTAAAAAAGGACCTCTGGGCATGTGTTAAAATTTTAAATGTTCTGGAGCATTTTGGCTCTCCTGGTCAAGATGAATCATGACACATGCTCCATCACAGAGCTGATTTCATTTTGCCTTGCATTAAAGTTGGTTGACTTTATGTCTTTCTCTACCATGAGAACTTTCTGAGTCTTCCATCAGAATCACATCTGTTTCATCTCAGGTACATGAGAGTTTCCACAGTGTGAGCTAAACATTGGTAGAAATTTATTTTATTTTATTTATTTATTATTTTATTTATTTTTTAAAAAGATTTTATTTAATCATTGTTTGTTTGCCAGAGAGAGAGAGAGAGAGAGCAAGGGAGCACAAGCAGGGGGAGCTGCCAGGCAGAGGGAGAAGCAGGCTCCTCGCTGAGCAAGGACCCCAATGAGGGACTCGATCCCAGTACCCTGGGATCATGACCTGAGCTGAAGGCAGACACTTAACCAACTCAGCCACCCAGGCATCCCAAGAAATTTATTTTAAATATATCGTCATTCACAAACAAAGAATTAAAAGGTGCCAAGTGAAGTTAACATTGCAAGGTAACATCATATTTAGTGCAGAATCTAATTTAATTATTCAATTTACTGATTCAGCACTTCCTGTGGTTAAGGCACTGGGAAAGGCATTAGGAATTTAAACAGTGACAAATACCTTTTCTTTTCTTGTGTATCCATAAACTTTATATAGAAAAACAAATCCCCATCAGTGACCTCTGGATGGTGACAATACAAAAATGTCTGACTGACTCAGCATAATCCCAACAGGACTAACAGGCCCACACCCCTCGACAGGGATGTGGCAGGAGCCTGCTTCTTGGGATGTGAGGTTACTTCTAATACTATCATTCGTATGCCATGCACTTTTGGGTTATTGCCTGGGTATTCTCGGTGGATTATGCTCACCTATCCCCACTTCCCCCTTGTTATGTCCTAGGGCAATTCCTGTCCTACTCCCCGCTCAAAGGAGACAAAAGTTCAGACTGAAATAAACCAGCCAGAGGGGGCCCTGGTATCAAAGATCCCCCAAATCTGTTCCTGCTAAAATTAAGGAGTTTTGGCTATGGATTCCCTACAACCTTGAAGTGCTCTGCTGAGCAGCTAAAGGTCATCGAGTGACTCAGCTAGCAGGAGGTCTGCTAATAGATGCTTCACTTTAGAGCTGTGCTGAATAATTGCTGTTAATTGAATTGCAGAAATACCTATTTGTTATTTATAAATAGTATACATTTTTAATAGAAATAGTGTGATACTCAAATTGTTTATTTTTAAAGCACCTTGCAAATATGATTTTAGTAAATGTGCAGAAGTTAGAAAGTCTTTTCTTTCATACTACCAGATATTGTGGTATACTTTACTTCTTTTTTTTTCCAGATTTAATTATGCAATTTTAATGCATTTGAATTTAGCCCACGAAGCATCTTTGTATATTTTCTTTACATTACCAAGCACTTGTAACAAAGCCTGAAACTATTTGTAGTAAAACATACTACAAATAACATGTATATATAGGTAATATTTGTTTGGCAGTCAATTTGGGCCAGCCATTACTCTAAATACTTTATGTGAATTGGCTCTTCTAGTCCTCACATTTCAAGGGGGCAAATACTATTATTATCTGCATTTTGTAGATGAGAAAATTAAGGCTCAGAGAGGTTAAGCAATTTGCTCAAGATCAAACAGCTAGTGAGCTGCAGAGTAGCACTTTGGTTCTGGAGGCTACACTTTCAACCAGCAAGATTTAGTTAAATGTTTAATTCTCATAAACCCTGTGCGACAGATACTACCATTATGATCCCCATTTAATAATGAGGGGATTGGTCCAATCAATATCACTCTGCTGGTAAGCAGCTGAATCAGGCTTTTAAACTCAGTCCTGTCTGACTCTTGGGTCTGAGATCCTAGAGAAGGCAGAGTACTTACTTCCTTTTTAATCCCATCTAGCATTAGAGATTAAGTAGATTTTAAGGGAAAAGAGAAATGATTTACTCAAATAATACAGTAACTATCCAGTCATAATCTTCAAAAAATATTTAAAATACTGTTAAGCTAATTATTGAATTTTTCTAAAATATTTGAAATACTCTTAAGCTAATATTAAATGTCATCATTCTGAACAGCAGAGCCCAAATGGCTATTTTTTTTTTTAAGATTTTATTTATTTATTTGACAGAGAGAGACACAGCAAGAGGGAACACAAGCAGGGGGAGTGGGAGAGGGAGAAGCAGGCTTCCCGCCAACCAGGGAGCCTGATGCGGGGCTCGATCCCAGGACCCTGGGATCATAACCTGAGCCGAAGGCAGACGCTTAATGACTGAGCCACCCAGGCGCCCCCCAAATGACTATTCTTAAAAATTAGTGTAATAACTCATCTCACTGTTCGTGTGATTTCCCAGAGTAACCGCGATTACCTCAAGAGATTTGTGAGCATTTAAAAAAAAAAAAAATTTAACTTATTTTTACTATTGCAAGTATAAAATGTTGTGTAGTACTTGTTGGGTGTAATACATGAGAGTAATACAATCAAAACAAATCACAAGAGTATTATAAAAATACAATAACTGTTATTTCAGGATAGACTAGTTTAATTACTATCATTCATATTACTCTTTTACTAAATGAGTAGTCACCGTCTATATCTTAAAAATGAGAAGGAATGTACATGCCAGTCAAGTCATGATGATAAAGTAAGATTAAAAGTTTATAGAAAAATGCTGACGGTTTATATTTATAAGAATGTTGCTTATAAGGACATTCCTATATAAATCTGTCCTTTCTTTCTCTGAGTTCATATTTAGAGTATTGATTTCCTTGACCTGTAAAAACCAGTATTGCACGATTTCAAATCTCTAGGTGAGCACTGAATGTCAGAGCATAAAAGGAGATAGTACATCATCGGTGAATTATGCCATACATTTTAGCCAAATGGTTTGTACAGGTGTCTCATTATGAGTCATTTATGTTTGTATTACCTTTAGGCCCTTTGAACAGTTTGATCTCCACAACAGTTTCCAGAATGGGTCGTCTTCTGCGCACGTACAGCCGAACGATAGACCCAGCTTCCTTGAGAGCTTCCACGGCTTTACTGTGGGAAACCTCTGACACATCGACCTCATTCACCCGCAAGATACAATCATTGACCCTGGAAGAGAGGGAAAGAAGGAAAACTGAGGGTTGGCTGGGAGGATTTTTTAAAGCATATTATCATTGTTAGCAAAACTTAAGAAGCAAGAAAGCAGAGTATGAGCAATTTTAAAATGTTTTTGTTTGGAAGAAACAATTCAAATGAAGGAAACATTGAACTCCCCAGCCTTCCCAGCCTTTCCAAAAGGACTGCACTACTGGTCAGGCCCCTCTGGCATCCCAGTGCCCTGGCATGGGAGCACATGGTACACGGTGCAAGTTAGGACGACGACACATTTTGAGGTCCCTGTCAGTTACATCATTATTTTTTTTTTTAAGATTTTATTTATTTGTCAGAGAGAGAGAGAGAAAGCACAACCAGGGGGAGTGGGAGGCAGAGGGAAAAGCAGGCCCCCGGCCGAGCAAGGAGCTTGTGGGATGAGGGATGTGGGACTCGATCCCAGGACTCTGGGATCACGACCTGAGCCAAAGGCAGACGCTTAACCAAATGAGCCACCCAGGCGTCCCATATTTTGATTGGTTTTAACTGAGTTGACTGAGAGTTATTATTGCAGTGGTTCTCAGAACTTACTATGGACTATACAGACATCACAAATGTAAACTTAAAGATTAATTTTATTGAATTTTTAATTTGCTACTTATAAAGGTAATATATAGTCATTTTAGAAAATCTGAAAAATGTAACCATGTAGAAAGAAAAAAAGATATACATGACCCAATCATCTAAAATAAATGCATTAGCTTTCTGGTAAACTATCTTCCTGTGTTTTTTTTTTCTTCCCCCCTCAAATTTGTATCACAGTATTAGAGATATCGAAGTTCAGATTTCACAAAATTGAAAGAAAATCTCAGATAATCTTTGCCTTAGGTATTTACTTTGAAAACCAATAATTATGGTAACTAAACTCTCCTTTCTGGCATTTTCAGAAGGGATAATCTGACTTTTCTACAAAACTGTCCAGGTAATAGATATTTATGTAGCCACAGACTTCAAATCTCTTTTATATTCATGATAATTAGTAAAAACTTTAATAATGATTAAAAGTATGAGGTTTGAGACTAGAAAGATTTCTTTCCTTTACTTTGAATATCCACTCTAGTATTGCCCATCTCAGTTCATGTGTTCCTCAGAGTAAGAAATAAGGGGCTACCCTTGCTTGACTTCCTTATCCCACCAACATACATTCAGCTCTACCTGCAAAGTCTATCTGCAATCCATCCACATTTCTTAATCTGCACTGCTACCACCCTGGTTGATGTCAACATCATCTCCCACCTGGATTATTTCTACAGGCTTCTACCTACTCCCCCGGGATCCTCTCTTGTCAACTTTTAATGCATTCTCCACACAGTGGACAGAGTAAAGTGAACATGATTGGTTGCTTATTCACCTTCCATTCCCCATATCCTTCTTCCCAACCATGCCCGATTTGCTCAGGATATCCACTTCTTAGCAAATATTTGTTAAATGAATGAAATAATAAGCCTAAGTTCAATTACTAGGCCTTCCATTTCCTAAGTTGGTAAACACTGATAATTAGCCTCTTAGCCTCTATGTTCACATCTATAAATAGATACAATAGTAATATCTACAATAAAAGACTTATGGGGAAGATTAAATGAGATAATGTACATGTAAGTCTTTAGCAAGGAGTCCGGTATGTAATAAGCATCTAATAAGTGGTTATTGGTTGCACTGAAAATTTTGATTTATAATATTTTAACTATTAGATCCTTTCCATAATCTTGTGAATAAGACATTATCCACATTACAGAAATGAGAATTGTTCCTAGTGATCAAGTTCTTTGTCTAAAGCTGTCAGCAATTTGGGTAGAAATTGGATATGACCTTAGGTCTTCCAATTTCAAAAGCCAGCACTCTCCTCTTAGGGATCACAAAACATCTAAATGTTGTGAACAATTTCATGTATATTGTGCACGTCAATTCAAAATTATAACATGGTAGTGAAAATATTATGCAAAAAGTATGGGAAGAATTTTTCTATCATTTTTCCCCCATAACTTCTCTATACCTGTTTGGGGAGCTGAGTTATAGAGACTCTTGTCTCAGTGAGAACCCTAATTAGCTTCAAAATTCTGAGGTGAAACATTTCACTTATTAAGATTCAGTGATGTCATTTCATCTTAACAGATGCTTCAGCTTTAAAAGGTTTACACATACATTTCCTCTCTGACAAAAAAAAACAACAAAACAAAACATGGAAAATTACCAATTAAAATAGTTTTGAGAATGTAGGCAACACGGGTGCCAGCCGCCCTACAGCAGCTGGTCCTTTGAGAGTGGGTAATTTTGTCATCTCATGATAATGCAAACACATAGTGTTTACCATCACCCTATGCTCAGAATATTAATCATATCTTAAAACACTGCTTTCCATAAAAAGGAGTGGCTGACATTTAAAAAAAATTATGGATGCTATATCTATTCAAACTGTGCTAAATTTTTCCTTTTGTATACAGTGGAATCCTTAATTGTCAATTGCAGGGGTGAGGGTGAGGGTGCAGCCTAAATCAGATGTTTTTTCTTGAACATGTGGAGGAAGAAGGCAACTTTAGTGCAGTGAAAACAGCACTGGACTAGCCTTCAGGATGCTTGGATTGGAGTCCCTGCTGCGTGACCACGGTCAAGTCATTTAATCTCTTTGAACCTCAGTCTCCCATGAAAAGAGAGAAAGTGTGCCTAGAGTTAATGAGAGGAGTAAGCAGACAGGCAATGCATCTGGGTGTGTGTGTAAACTGTAGACTACAGTACATATGAGAGCTGCAGCTACTGATCAAAGATGAGTCAAAGATGCTGTGCTCAAAGACATACTGAAAGGTGAACAGTATGGAAATGGAAATTTTAAGAGGACTTCCAATGTGCCATATCATTCTAGCCACTTTTTTCACTGGTTCTTAAACCCCACCATTTCTGAAACACAGATTCTCATTCTACAGATGATGAAATTTACTGACAAGGTCACAGTGGTGTTGAAGACACGGACATGATTCCAACCTGGTTTGGCCTTTTTCTGGAGCTTATGCTGATACAGAGGTCCTCAGAATGGATTGTTTTAAATTAAAAAAAACGGGGCAGGGGGAGGAGCAAATGGCGGAGGAATAGGAGACCTGGATTTCCTCTGGTCCCAGGAATTCAGCTAGATAGGGATCAAACCATTCTGAGCACCTATGAACTCAACAGGAGATCAAAGAAAAGAATAGCAGCAACTCTCTGAACAGAAAAGCGACCACTTTCTGGAAGGGAGGATGTGCAGAGAAGTGAATCCGAGGCGATACTTGGGAGGATAGATGGCAGGGGAGGGGGCCTCCGTCTACTGCTTCTGGCAAGTGATAGAGCCCCGGAGCACAAAATCAGAGCTTTTAGAAATCGGCTCCGCTGAGGGACATCTCTCCAGTGGCTAAGCGGGGGGTGGAAACCTCGTAGGACAGTGTGGTCTCAGGACCCTCGGGGTCACAGAAAGACTGGGGGTGCCTGAGTGCGGCAGAGCTCCCAGGTATCAGAGTGGGGAAGCCAGTTGCAGAGACAGAGCTGAGGAGCAGGCTCTCAGCTCGGGGTTGCCATAAAGCGTGATCCACGGCACAGTCAGGCCACTGCTCCTCCAGCAGGGACCCAACAAGGGGCAGATCCGGGGAGACTCCCCTTCCTCCCCTAGGAGGAGCGGCACGGGAGCACACCACAGGAATCAGCTGGGTTTGGAGACTCCACACGGGGTCGTGTGCCAGAGATAGAAATGCTCGGTCACAGGCTGGATGAACACAGAGTGCGGCCGGAGACCCGGGAGACAGGAGTGACTGACTGCTTTTCTCTGGGGGCTCACTGAGGAGTGGGGCCCCAAGTTCTCGGCTCCTCCGGGGCAGAGATTGGGAAGCCTCCATTTTCACTCTCCTCCTTCAGAGGTGTATGGAAAGCTTGCAGGGAACAAAAGCTCCTGAGAGCAAACCCAAGCAGATTACTTAGCCCAACCGGCAAGGGTGGGGCAATTCCGCCTCTGGCAAAGACATTTGGGAACCACAGCAACAGGCCTCTCCCCCAGAAGATCAGCAAGAACAGCCAGCCAAGACCAAGTTTACCAGTCAATGAGAACGGCAGAACTCCAGTGCTAGGGGAATACTGCACATAGAATTCATGGCTTTTTCCCCATGATTCTTTGGTCTTTCAAAGTTAATTTTTTTAACTTTTTCTTTTTTTTTTGAATTTTTCTTCTTCCATTTTACAAACAACATCTTATCAATCCCTTTTTAAAAAATCCTTTTTATTTTTCATTTTTAGAGTCATATTCTATCCCTTCATAGTAGTTAACCCCATATATATATATATATATATAAGTTGTTCTCTCTTTAAAATTTTGGGATACAATTTCTTCTACCAGACCAAAATATACCCTAAATCTCTAGTGTATCACTTTGTTCTAGTCTCCTGCTTGATCACATTATCTCCCCCTTTTTTTTTAAATCCTCTTCTTTCTTTTTTCAACCAGCTTCTTATCTTATCAATTCCTTTTATAAAATCTTTTATAATTTTCATCTTTACATTCATATCCCATCCCTTCATTGTATTTAATCTTATTTTTGTACATATATAAGTTGTTCTTTCTTTAAAATTTTGGGAGGCACTTTCTTCTAACAGACCAAAATACGCCCAAAATCTAGTGTGTGGCACTGATCTATGCACCAGCCTGATCATATTTGATCAAATTCTGTTTTTTGTTGTTGTTGTTTGTTTGTTTTTATCTTTTTCTTTCTCTTTTTTTTCTCCTTTTTCTTTCTTTCGCATTCTTTCCCCCTGGTTTCAGGTCTATTCTGATTTGTTTAGTGTATATTTTTCTGGGGTCGTTGTTACCCTGTTAGCATTTTGTTCTCTCATTCATCTATTCTCCTCTGGACAAAATGACAACACGGAAAAAATCACCTCAACAGAAAGAACAAGATGCAGTACCGACTGCCAGGGACCTAATCAATATGGACATTTAGTAAGAT